TTTTATCCAGGCTATTGCACATGTGTAAACAGTACTTTTGAAACCGAGGTTGGTTTTTTTTTTTTCGTATCGGCACTCGTTACATGTGAATAAAGGGTAGAATCGCATAAAATTTTTTTTTTTTTAAAATCTCGCATTCTGATTGTTTAACGATGCGAGGTATTTAGCGTGGATTTTTTTTTTTAAAACGAGGCTAATTGTTATTGTTTCGCATCTCTTGTTTCGCGCTCAGGTTTTTTTTTTTCAACATTGTTGCTGTTTTCTTTTTTTCTTATTTTTCTTCCATCATGCGATTCAAGGAAAATGCATTACCTTACACTTGAATTCCGCGTTAAATTGCGCCTGAAAACCGATTTTTTTTTTTTCGCGAACGGTTTTCGCGCACAATTTAACGCGGAATTCCCTCGTCAGGTAACGGGTTTTCTGATAATATTCTGCTGTTCATTTACCCCTAGTGGCTGAACCCACAAGTAATCGCTACTGTAGACGCGCTGGAGAGAGTCCATGTTATTGATGTGCGAAGTATGGAAGAACTTGAGGTAAGATGACTGTGCGGGAAAATGAGTTTATGTTGACCAAGTTATTGCATCATCTTTTTTTTTTTAAAGTCTCAAATATTCCCCCGCCAGTCTGGTTTTCTGTTGGAGACAGAGTTTTTTTTTTTGTTAAAACAACTCGACTGCACGAAACTGCAAGACTGACGGGCTCATTTTTTTTTTTTTTTAAAACCAATGCCAAAGAAATGAATGTGGCCAGGCAGAAAGATGAGATATTTTTTTTTTTTTGATTAATCAGAGAAAACGCACGAAGTCGGCTTCAAACGAAGGAAAATCTTTTTTTTTTTGCGCGATTGGTTGCAGATTTGATCTCCAGACCTAAGACAGAGTGTACCATTTTTTTTTTTTTGCATTTGTCCTGGTTTAAATTCTTGCAGATTCTTGACTTAAGCCCAGTGCAGCTTGTGTACAGCAGTAGTTATTTTAAGTCACTCTCTACTGGAGGAAACGTCAGCATTTTTTTTTTTAGAAATCTGTTTTTCGTAAATAGAGCTGTTTCCAATTCATTGTCGAAAATTTTTTTTTTTGGTAATCACAGCGATAACTAATAAAAAAAAAAATGCTCACAACATTATATTTTTTTTTTTACTCAAAGTAAAAACAGACAAAACTGCCAAAAGCGCAGAAAACGAATGGTATTCGAATGGCATTCGTTTTGGTTTGATCGATTGAGAGGATTTCTCTTTTTGACCAATTTTTTTTTTTTTTGGAGCGAAAACAAAGCACTGGATTGTTTAGGAGTGCTCCTCTTCTCCCTTTTTTTTTTTTAACAGCCAACTGAGAATTCTCGAACATCCCCTGCTGCAGTGCTTTAAGTTTTTTTTTTTAAAAAAAGTAAAGGAAGAAGAGTAAAGGTTTATCGATGGCCCAATATATTTTTTTTTTTTAAGCGTTTGAAACACGCGAGTAGTGGATTTCTATTTCCATGTTAGTGAATAATGACTTCAAATGACAAATATGATACTTGCAATTACAGCTTTAGTTTGCATTACTGCATTTTTTTTTTTATACAAATTTTCCTTGTAGGTCCTATTTCAAATGCCATTTCTCCCAGTTAAATACGGTATCTACCAGCGTAACGTTACATGAACCAAGCTCTCTGCTTGAATGTTGTGGTAAGAACGATTAGGAGATTTACAAATAACTGCTTATTTCGATATTCTCTTGGAGTCACCTTTTTTTTTTTTACTTAGTCACGTTATGTGTCACGTTCTCATCAAGCGTCACGTTCTCATCTTTTTTTTTTTTCTCATAACGCATCACGTTCTCTTCACACATCACGCTCTCTTCACGCATTTTTTTTTTTTTAAGCATCACGCTCTCACCACACATCACGCTCTAATCATGCACTGCGCTTTTTTTTTTTTTGGGGGAGAAAGCGTGTTGCATGACGTGACCACACTACAACTGCGAAGGTTTTTTTTTTTAAATGATGAGTCAAAATGGATTAAAAAAAGGTTGGGGTAAACGCTACATTTTTTTTTTTTTTTCATGGTGTGATCTTTTTCTTGATTTTATCAACTATTTTGTTTTCATTTTTTTTTTTTCGCCAGTGAACATTCATGTTATCAGACAGTAGTGGTTTTTAATGGACAACAATTACTTTTGGGTGTCAAGGTAGATCAATATTCTGAACCAATGAATATAAAGGAGAAGTTTTTTTTTTTAAATGTCAAAGTATATTATCAAGATTTAGGGTTGCGGCTAGTTACATAGTTTTTTTTTTTATTTCTTGCTCTTAAACACATCGAGAGAAGCAAGTTGTACACAAGCATTTTTTTTTTTTTACCATGGAACCACCAAAATATCGGTTTTGTAAGATAGGGGAACGCAAAATTTTTTTTTTTACAGAACGAGGATATGGTGTGATAAAGGATTGCAAGTGAACGTTGAAACTTTTTTTTTTTCACTACTTTACACTCTGAATAAGAATGATTGATGAAAAATTTTGATCGATTTTTTTTTTTTCAAGATACCATCTTAGCATTGTTTAATTATATATTTGTTTATTTTCTATTTTTTTTTTTTCCATGTATTGACACTAAGGAGCTGGCGTGATGTAAGTTCAGAACTCACTTTTTTTTTTTCAAAGATACCTTCCTGGCGATTTAAACATTAGAATAAGTTGAATAGGTACTGGCTTAGACATTTATTCCTTGTATTATTCTTCAAGGTTCCTTTTCGATGAGCAATTGTTTTTTTTTTTTCCACCATAAACGCAGTGAGAATACTTATTTTGATTTGGTTGTTCGTCTTTTTTTTTTTTTTTTAGAGAATTGAAGTATTTGTGAAGCAAAATAATTTCCTGGACGCTTTTTTTTTTTTTTTGTCTTTTTATGACGGCACTGCTATGGCTGTGATAGGTGGGTAAACACTTCACATGATCAAAGACAGTCCGCACCCAATGGGTTTTTGGTTGCATGACATCAATTATTTTTTTTTTTTTTTCATCTGTGTTTGTTTGTTGTAATTTGTAACGGTCCATCGCGGGTTGATTTTTTTTTTTTCGCAAAATGTGTCATACATACTTAAAGTCGTAATCTTTAATCCCCTTAATTTTTTTTTTTGATCAAAGGTAAGGTAAAGTGCGATAAGGTGGATGCTTACGTTCTAGCGTTTTTTTTTTTCTTAAAATACCACTGGAGTCAGGCACATTTCGAGACTGCGCCGCTAAGCTTTTTTTTTTTCTCCCGGCTGCAGTGAAATCCTACCCGGACTTTAATACCTTATAAAAAGTTTTTTTTTTTATTTTAAAAGCTACAATAGATATTTTGTAGAGATACACATATATATATTTTTTTTTTTTTTTATACCCAATTTTATGTTTCTATAACAGATGTAGAGCCATTTTACCCATTTTTTTTTTTTTGATAAACCGTTATTATTATTATTATTATTATTATTATTACTAGTGTTTTTTTTTTTTTTATTATTATTATTATTATTATTATTATTTTTATTATTATTATTAAAGTCTTTTTTTTTTTCACGTGGTCCACCCAGGCGAAGTTTATCCCGGTTTCCTTAGCTTAAAGATTTTTTTTTTTACTAATCACCCCTGGATGGGATGCGAGTTCATCGCAAGTTTACCCCCCTTTTTTTTTTTTCCCCCCATCATTTTATCACCCCTTTCGATAGTCAGGAGAATATTGTATCTTTTTTTTTTTGCATGGAGAAGGACGGAATGAAATGTTCCCAAAACCCACCAAATAAATCGAGACAGCAAAGAAAATTAAAGGCTAGTAAACTTTATTTATTTTACAATCCGGATCAGAGGCTACCAATTGCTGTATGAATAACACATATTCTGTGGTCACTTGGATCAAGCAGAGATCGATCGCTGCAAATCAAAGCGATGTTCATTGACATCGCGTGGCGTCCAATCCTTAGAGCTGTTTTTTTTTTTTAAACTGAGAGGTTTATCTTCTCTCATCTTTCTTGATAAATTTGTATTGATTTTTTTTTTTTTTTTTCTTCTAGGTTTAATTGGGAATAAAGAGCAAAGATCAGTAGAAATTTTTTTTTTTGTTAAAATTCCTTTGAAACTTTTGATTTATCAATTAATCTCCAGTTAATTTTTTTTTTTTAAGGAAATTGAACCTTCTTGCGATAATCGAAAAAAAGTCTCTCTTACGATTTTTTTTTTTATTGTATTATTGCATTTTTATCCCAGATAGAGGAACTATTATTAGCCTATTTTTTTTTTTCAGTGTTCGTGAATTGTCCAAAGACTAGAGACACAGAGGAGCTTAGGAATTACTTTAAGGTGAGCTTTTGGTAAGGCTATAATGATTCTTGTTTGTTTGTATTCAAGCATTTTTTTTTTTCAGCTTGATAATGCCAAATGCTGAGAGTTACAATATCGTTTTTGCATAATTTTTTTTTTTGGCATATCGTGCAAATCAAAAAAAGGTTTAATAAAGTTAGAAATGACGTTTTTTTTTTTTCTAACATTTGAGTCGATAAAAAATTACTCAGTCCAAGAAGGTGTGCGTTTTTTTCATATACGGGAAGCTCTTAAGGGAACTAGATCTGCACCTTAAAAAACTGGCCAAATTTTTTTTTTTAAAACTCTTCTTTGTTTCAAGAAAATTCCTAAAGTTGTCATTTATTTTATTTTTTTTTTTTCTTATGCATGTCAATCAACTCATACCTGTTTCTAGCTCGATGGTGACGTTAGTTGTACAGTAGAACGTCGTTTTTAACGTAACGTTTTAAACTTGCCTTCACACATGTGTCTTGATGCCTTGACGACAATTTGAGACTAATCCGAACCCCAAATTTAAAGTCAAGCCTTCTTAGTAGCGCCTGAGGATTAATTTTAAGCAATATCTTATGGCAATATTAGATAGAACATTTTTTTTTTTTTACTTTTTTTTTAGGAAATGGTTCCAATCTTCATCAAGTACAGCCTGGTTTTTTTTTTTATGTGAGTTTTGAAAATAAAGAAATCTCTTCATTCTTTGTTATCTGTATTGTTCCTCTAACGTAACTATCGGGCAGGTTTTAAATCCAGGTAAATAGGGCTGGACACTAACGGTAGCCAACTAACCACGGACTAGTAGAAATTCAGTTTTGGCTAGTGGTTGTCCATTTTTTTTTTTTTTTTTGGCTAGTAAACAAACCGAAATTGTTGTAAAATCTGAACTGTCACTATTTTTTTTTTTTAGTAAGTTGAAAAGTTAGCGTCGAGCCCTGTAAAAGTGCACATCTGTACTTCGTTTCCACTTGTGAAACACAATGTTGGCCAGAAAAAAAACAAAAACAAAAACACCAGAAAAAAAACAAAAACAAAAACAAAATTTTTTTTTTTTACAAACAAAAACAATAACAGCGAAAAACATAACTTGAAATATTTAACAAATGAATTTCATGTGGCTGAGCGTCCGTCCTGTACTACGACACGTACTACGACAAATTGTGTAAGCGGCACACGAGGTGCAGCTGAGTGTTTTACTTATATTTATGCCACATTAGAACGTTTTTTTTTTTTTATTACAGAACAGACCCGCGGAAACATTGAATCTACTTGACTTATAATATTTTTTTTTTTGAAAAAAAAAAAAAAACAAACGTGTTGATCGTGACGTCATCTATGCATCTTTTTTTTTTTAGACATTAAGTGAGAGCAATCAAAATGCGTGTATTTCTCAGCTCATGATTTTTTTTTTTTCTAAACTTGGCCAGAGATTTAGTGGTCAATGCGCTCTGAATCATTCCCGTTTTTTTTTTTAATTAATCCCTCTTATAGGCCGAGTGTTCGAGGTCCGTACCGTAAGTTATTTTTTTTTTTTTTTCCGCTTAGACTTCTGACCTTGCGGGTATAGATCCATTGTTACATTTTTTTTTTTTTATAAAGAAAGATATCGATTCTAACAAAATTTTGAATTTAGTTGTCCGTACAGTGAATTACGGCGCGCTTAATTGACCAATCGTAGTGCGCGTACTAATTGAGCGAAAATTTTTTTTTTTTTTTTAATCTTCTAATTGATCGATGAACTCCAGGAACAAATAATTGAGCCTTTTTTTTTTTCATTTTTTTTTTTTTATGTTCCCAAAGGGATCTCTTATTTAGAGAGATTTTTTTTTTTTTTTGTGAAGATCCTGTTGGGAAAATCGTGTTTCTGGAAAGCCTAGAACCTTTTTTTTTTTTAGACAAGTAAGTATAATCAGAAATAATCAATTTTTTAACGAGTTGATAAAGGTGAGACTGGATGATCCGAGCTGGACTACTTTGTTTTAAGGGTCAATCCCACAACTCTTTTTTTTTTTTGCATAAATAGACACGTTTAATTGAAGGGAAAAAAATTGAAGGAAAAATTTTTTTTTTTTTTTTCCTTTGATTAACTCCGCCCCGTTAGTGGTCCCGAAAGCTTGGATCACCATTTGACCAATCAGGTGTAAAACTACTCGTGAAAAATTTGTGACCCAGTCACTGACGTTTCCAGGCGCTGGAAGCCATTAACTTACATTTACTTGAGCTTTTTTTTTGTCATTTTTTTTTCAGTTGCTTTTGATAAGTACCTTTCTTCCCACTTCCCATTGTCATAGGTTTGGTCTTGGTTTTTCACTCAATTCAATCGGAAAGTGCTCTTATTTACATTTAAGAATAACCTTGGAACATTCCATTTTTTTCCTTTTTTCTTTCTTCAGACTAACGTCTTTGAGTCCGATTGTGATGATTTTTTTTTTTGGTAATGTGAACCTGTGCATGTTTTAGGTGGCTTTCCCTGGGTCCCCATTTTTTTTTTTTACGTTACGTCATCGCCGCCATGTTGGTGGACGTAAACAATAGATATCTCTTTTTTTTTTTTTGTTCGTCCACCAGCATTTGTTCCTTTCACCATTGTTACCTGTGTCTCTTTTTTTTTTTTACAAACCACCTATTAAATTGTATTGTATTTTCCCACGTGTTAGTTTCATTTTTTTTTTTGCTAAATGTTTATGAAAAGATGGTATTCTCCAAAGCATTGAGATCGTAGCAGTGGGCAAATGTAAATAATGAGAAGGGGTGATAAAGGCTGGAGAAAAATCTTGAGTTTAAGGGGCCAGGGGTGAATTTTCAGCAAATGATGTTATCAAGCTTTTAAAAGTTCTTTTTGCAATTCCTCATAGAAGATTTCCTGCCAAGACCTCGTTAGCTATAAAGGACCTATCTGAGATCACGAATTAGTCTGTCAGCCTTTAATGTACTCACGAAGGGCGTGGTTGGATAAACGATCTTATTTTTACTCCGGGCCCAATTTTTCTAGTTTAGAAAATGGCAAATAAATCCAATCTGTCGAATAACCTGTTTTCTTAACTTTCCAGAACACTACAACCAGCAGAACAGGCTCAAAGATGTCGAATCATGTCTCATGCACCTTGATGTGACAAATCTAGACATACACCAAGTATGTATACATGACATATCGAAAGCGAGTTTCATACAAATCGATTTCGTGTGAAGTGACTTGTTCCAATTTTTTTTTTTTCTTCCCTTAGATGGTGAAACTCTGCTGGGCTCACGGCTTGTACGATGCTTTTTTTTTTTTGTACAATCGGGGCATGCGAGACTACACCACTCCGCTGGAGGTAATCTTTTTTTTTTTTTGACTGGGTATTATTTATAGGGGGGGGGGGAGAGTGGGGGGTTCGGAGATTTTTTTTTTTTTCACAGTATTGATTTTGTCAGTAGTATTCTCATAATATATGCCTAGGCTGATCGGAGGGAGAGTCCTTGGGGATCTTGGGGGGTCCTTGGGGATCTTTGGTGGTTTTGACCCCCCACCCCTTCCTTAACAGCAGAAAACCTTAGAATTCAGATGGAGCTAAAAGGAGAATTTTTTTTTTTCACACGGTGTGGCGTTTTGTGCTGGCCGGAGGGAGGGTCCTTGAGGGGTTTTGGGTGGTTTTGAACTCCCCCCCCCCCTTAACAGCACAAAACGTTAGAATTTAGATGGTTTTTTTTTTTGAATCCAAAGAATCTACACAGTGTGGCGTGCACTACTTAGTGCTTATCATTTTTTTTTTTTTCTTCAAATAAAATAGGGTGTGGATGTCGACTTGACCCTGGGGTGGGTTTTTTTTTTTTGAAACGTTGAAACCACCTCCCCCCTCTCCCCCCTCTTCTATCCTCCAGTTCATTGTTTAAAATCTTTCGCAGGAGCTGATTAATGTCTTAAAAAGCACAGTGCATGCCAGAACACCATTTGAAGGTGAGTTGCCCATCATGAACTTCAATAGTGACGAACGAGTGCTGTTTTTTTTTTTTTTAATGGATGGCTTTTGTGATTGAGTTCAGTGTTCTTTTAACCCTTTGATTTTTTTTTTTATCTAATTTCTCTTTAATTTATCAGCCCTGAATCACGCGTTCAGGTTACGTTAATAAAGGAAATCATCACCAACGAAAGAAGCTCTTGATTGTTAAACAAATCCTCCTCTTTTTTTTTTTAGAAAATTTATGGAGAACAGAATGAAGAATATGCAAATTGATGTTAGGGTTTTTTTTTTTAAGATGCAAACAGCCTATACTTGTGATACTGATCTTTTTTCTTCAGTAGTTTTTTTTTTTATTATGTTTGAACCAAGCTGTGCAAGAAGGGTCGTCACCTCAATGGATATTTTTTTTTTTGGTTTTCGAGTAAAGACTGGAACTGAATAAATAATTTTTCGGTAAAAATTTTTTTTTTTTTTACAATCTTTGTCCTCATCTTAAATCCTGACTTTTGTATCTGATCCATTTTTTTTTTTTAGGACCGAACCAGAACGAGAATAGTTCGGAAATAAAACGGAAATAATAGTTTTTTTTTTTTACTCGGAGACCTGATTTTGGAGTATCCATTTAAGTCACGACTGCGCAAGTAGTGTTTGATTTGAGATTGCTACTTAACTACTTGACCGTGCAAGTAGTGTTTGATTTGTTTTTTTTTTTTCTTTTGTCATTAAGTACAAAGAGAAACTATCATGTTGTAAAAGGCGGTTTTTTTTTTTTAACAAATCGTTACTGAAAAGTTTCTTGCTAGAAATGTTTAAATGGTTAGTGCTTTTACCTCATCTCCTGATAGGTTGATCATTCTTTTCGTGTTAAGATTCAGATCTTTCTTTGGGGAACAAATTACTTGTCTACATCAGCTGCTGCCTTGTGGGACAGGCATTTCCAGTTTTTTTTTTTCCTGTGGACTATGCACTAGACGTGAAAAAAGAGGTGAACGTTCTGATGTTTTTTTTTTTTTTGATTGTTTTTCCTTTTTTGTTTCATAACTTTTTTTTCTTTTGCAACTTTCGTCTAGTGGCTATTTATTTTTTAAACAAATTCCTTAATGAGTTGGCTGGACGTGTCTTTTTTTTTTTTTTCAACAGTTCGAGCGTGAAATAAAAAAGGGAAAGAGAGAAATGTGGGCTTTTTTTTTTTGCAAGTTTTCGTTTCTGTTGAAGCTAGATGACGAAGAGTTTGCACATGTTTTTTTTTTTTTTCTTTCATGGGCGAGCCCAGGAAGGAGTACAGATTCTACACTAACCACTCACCAGCTCCAGGCCCCAACACTCTCTCGCGGGTAAACGAACGCTCGTTATGTAGCTCTTTTTTTTTTTTCTTGCTGGTGGTCTAAACTGTCTGTCGGTCTCCGACTATGTAGTTTTGTTTTTTTTTTTTAGGTATTCAACTGCATCACGGCCCAAAATACTAAAGACGGGTTTGAAAGTTTTTTTTTTTATTCAGTTGTGCTTGATGTTTTCCGCATCTCGTCACTGGATTAAACTTTTTTTTTTTTTTTCGCCGGCAGGTGAACCTTCATATCCACGTTTGCGAGTTTTGTTACATTTTTTTTTTTTTGAGTTCTTGAATGTTCTTTCCATGGTAAGATAGTTCATTAGCAGCTTGGTTTTTTTTTTTAATTTGTGCAGTATTCTATTCCTTGCTCAGAACGAATTAAAGCGGTACATTCTGATGTTTGGAGTCGCATTTTACGAAAAGCAGGAGCCCATTACCCGGAGCTTCCATCTCAGTTGTACCCTTGAGTCAAACCTGTCCCGTATCTTTTTATTTTTAGAACTGAGATATTTGCGGGGGTTCTTTAATCTTTCCGCGCTTTCCGCCATTATTGAAATAATTTTGTGCGGCCTGCAAGTGACACAGAGACGTAACACAATAGAGACGACAGCTCTCTTATGATTGGCTATTATAAAAACACCCGCGAAAACCGCCGTGGGAGGTGCTTCTAAAAATAGAAAGATACGGGACAGGGTTGGCTCAGAGGGTCAGTATGGAAGATGGAAGCTCCGGGTAATGGGCTCCTG